GCGGCGGCAGACGCCGCGACAAAAATTGGAGGCGGCGCCGCGGCGTCAAATATTTTTCTAACTTAAATTTTTTAAATTAAATTTATAAATTCATTGGAAAGACTTTTAAAATAAAATTTATACTTTATTATGTTTATAACTATAATTTAATGATTTCATTAAGTTATAATTATCATGAATAAATTATATTTTATTAAGATTTAAAGGACATAATAATGATCTTTTAGAGTTCAGAGTGAGCCCAATAGAAAATGCACGCTCGCTGGATGTGCTCGTAGCTGGAACGCACAGGACCTTTCTAGCTAATATTGAAAGTTTAGGAAGATCCAATGCTCTTACCTTCCAAAAATCTAAGACATCTCTTATCTCCAAATTATAAGGCGAAAATAATGAATAACACTCTTTTTCTAAACTAGTTAAATAGTGTTGTTGTTCCAGGTTATTGTTTTGAATAGATGAATGTTTCGTAGCCAATGACTTAAGATAATCGAGTTTTGAAGCAACTTCCGTCGTTTCAGATTCATTTAATTCGTCCGTGTAAGGTCGTAGAGAGGTATCGTGTTGATATAAAAATTCAACCGGAGTAATATTTTTTTCCTTTAAATATTCATTTACTATGTTTATAGATTGATAACGAGGATCCAAAAGTGCTCCTAACACCTAAGTAAAAAAAATAAAAGAAAGAGAAATAATATATAAAAAATAATTTATGTATTTTAAAATACTACCTGAAGATCGATTATTGGAAATCTATGATCAAATTTAGTAAGCATATTTTGTTTAAGGGATGCTATGGGAGGACTATCATATTCTTTTACAATTAAATGATTTTTAATTTCACTACGAAATAATAAGGCTAAATTTATAGTAACTCCTTTTTGGACAGATCATATGATTTTTGATTTTCACTATCATCATCAAACCACAAACGATCTTCATAAAAAGGATCATTATCATCCAAATCTAAAATATCTGATGTATATGATATCGATTCAAAATATTTTATATTTTCTTATTTTCAAAATCCGCTGTTTTGAATCTTAAGGCAACTCTAACTGCTCTCACTTTTTTAATGAGATTTTCTATTTTATTAACTTTTTTTTATTCCATCGACTGTCACTAGATTATGTAATCCATGCCCCAAACATAAATGATGGTCATATTCTCCAAGACGAACACTACTTTTCTTTTGGGTCCTGCATCCGTAACCATTTGAATTTTCTTGGACCCTAAATCAAATTCATTTTTAACTTTTTCTATCTCGGAAAGAATAGTTTCAGCGGTATGTTTTTGAGCGACATGATGTGTCGCCAATGTATAAAATACAATATTAAAATTATTATCTATTTCGTGAAATGTAAAGGTGATATAATTTTGCTGTCTATATTTGTCGGTCCACATATCAAAAGTTATAGCACAAAATTTAGGACCTATATTAATTTGTTGGCATATGCTTTCATTGATAAATACATATCATCTAATCCACTCCGGCTAAGTGTAGTTCTATCTGGTAATTCTTTGGTATCTGAAATAATGCCATATTTCTACATAATAAAAAGTTAATGATAAAAATATTATGCCATAAAAAATTCTAAATGTGGAATGTTTTAAAATAATTAAATATCTTAACAGTTAAAAATTAAGATTGCCCTATAAAAAACTATAAAGATTTTACAAATAACCTTTAGAAAATCTTGCATTCCAGTATTATTTATAGAAGAGAATGGCATTAAATCCTTGCAACACATGAAAACATAATTCCTTACCAGAATCTATTTTTTATCTTTTATAGGGTCAGTTTCTTTTACAATGGGTTTGAAAAATAACTTTAAATTTTGTTTAAATATTTCTTCTTTACATGATAAATCATGTTTGTCAAGTAAATCTTTATTATATTTGATGTGTTGATATTTTTTGAAAAAGATTTGATTGGAAAAGTAATTAAAAAATTTTCAAATATTTTTAAAATAATCAAATATTTTACTCTGAAAATGAATAATTATTTTCTTCCTCACCATCTTTATCAAGTACTATTTGCAATCATATATTACAAAAGATTTTATCTGTAGCAACACTGGTTCTCTTATTATTTGTGTCAATTTTTAATATTAAGGATCCAAAATGTTTCCATCCAAAAGAAGGCTTTGCTAGGAAGGATATACTATATTTTGTTACAGGATATTGCAATGCTGCATTCATTATAATTGTTTTAGTCCTGGTAGTTTTATATATGTTATAATGCCAACAAAATAAAAATCATTAATTAAAATTTCCTATTATGATAAAAAATAAATTTTATACAACGAGTTGTAAATTATTTGAAGCATCAAAAATTAATAGAATAAAATATAGAATTACCTTTTCAAATTTAATGTCCTAATCTTATTTTATCTAGCACGTTGGTCACAAACCTGCCCAAAGTGAACGAATATAGATTGTTATAAATCAAATTTATAGCAAATAATATTTATTAATTTTAAAAAATAAAATCGCATTTTTTAATAATTCAAAAAATATTTAATATTTTTCTTCTAATTAAAATTCATAAATTATATATAAAATAAATTAATAATAAAAAATATGTATCACGCCGCCACGCCGCCGAATTTTTAGATCAGCGGCGGCGTGTTGAGCGCCGACACTTTTTTGGCACGCGGCGTCGGCGTGGTCAAATCATCGGCGGCGGCGCACATGTCTAGGCATAGGTAAACAATAATATTTAACAAAGAATTTTGATATTATCAAGTAAAAGCTTTAAATATATTTTGACTCAAACCATAGTATTTACGCTTAGTTTTAATGGATTTAACCTGGCCTGAAGGGGGGAGGGAGTAAAAAGAATAAAAATTGGATATTATTTTCAAATAACAGGTAACAACTATAATAAAATTAGGAGAAACCCCCGTCATATGAGCTATCTACTAGTTATAAAATAAAACCTTTAAAATATAAATTTTAAAAAATTACTTCTCTATTTTTACCTGTATTCTCAATTTAATAGATACATTTGTTCATTTATTGTTAACATATCAAGTTTAATCTTTTAGCAATTTTTACTAAATGGGTATAGATTGCTTAAAAATTTAAAAATCCATAAATCATTGATAGCCTTGTTCATTCATTCTTTTTCAAATAAATATTTCCCCTACCCCAAAACAGCCTTCCAACGTCATTTTAGCAAATATTTCACACTTATTTATTACGACGCATGGCATGGCCTACTATTGAAAGGGGCCACTTTTAAGAGGTTCATAGCAGGATTTTGGCGCCAGGATATATTTAAAAAAAATTAATATGCATTTTATCTAAAAATTCTGATTTATAGCCATTTTAAAGTTTTTATTATATTAGCAATAACTTAAAAATTATCGTTTATAGTTACTGGGAGGGGAGGGGTGATGGCTGTTGAGAATTTTTCAATTTCCTAAATATTATTTACGAAATGGCAAAATTCGAAGAGGGGAAACGTCCTCATGCCTACCTCTGGCTGAGCTTATATTATGAGTTAGACCAGGGTTGCCAGATTCAATCAAACAAAACGGGAGAAATTTAATTATAATTCAAAAGGTAAAATTTTATAATAAAATATCCCCGTTATTTCCTTTTTGGTGATTATTTCTTTATTTAAATGAATATACCTAATACGATAGTAAAATAAAGGAGGATCATATATAATTATATTTTATTGTAAAATGAATAGATAATATTTAAAAAATCAGAACATATTTTTATTTATATTTTTCAGAATATTTCATAGTCCGATGGAATTGTTTTTAGAAGTTAACTTGAAACACATCTTTCTTCTAAAATTAGCGCACCATTAGTTTACTTGAAACACATCTTTCTTTTAAAATTAGCGCACCATTATTGGGAATGTTTTAGTATATCAATTATTTGATGCATTAGTTAATAGAGAAAATGGATTATTTTCTTTCAAATCCTTTTAGATGCGTTTCTTAGTTTCAGGACCAACCCTATTTTTGAGACTTTTGTTCTTCTAGATTTTATGCTTATATTCTTGAATCAGGAAAGAGTATAGGCAATAAGTGGATAGCCAATTTGTGGAGAATTAACTAAGCAAATGTTTTATCGTGGGATAGATGAATGTCGTTTCGGATATTGCAGTATTATAATCACATAAATTTTTGTTTTTGAAGTATGGTTGGATATTATTTGATGATTCCTTATTTTTTAAATTGGAAATATGTTTTAACCTTGTTGAATTATTTTTTACAACATGGACTTCTCCCATAGCTGATATTAAATTTTGCATTGCATATTATACAAGTTGCATTTAAGTATACTCTCTTTAAGTTTTCTTTACATGTTTTTTTGGATGTTAAACTTCTATTTAAACTGTAATTTATATATAATTTAAATTAATGGAATAAAATTGGAAAAGAAATGAAACATCATATGAAGACTTTTTTTAATTAATCAAATATTATTATTAAGCTATATAAAAATTTTAAATAATCTAAATATCATTATGTAGATTTATTTCTAAAAATTATATAAGATACTTCACATTTACATAAGAAACATCAGAATCAAAGGATGATTAATGATTTATCATCATAACAATTCATTTTAAAATTAAAAGATATTAAATATTATTATTATATTTTAAATTGGAAAGTTTTCGAAAAATTTGGGCGAAAGCGTAAATCAATTGACGGCGTGTTTTGGCGTTAATAAAAGTAAAATATTTGAGAATTACGCCAAAAACGGGAGATCTGGCAACCCTTGTTATGACACGTATAAATTAAAACTTCGATTTCATTTAGAATGTATACATTGCAAAGCATATCTTATAAAGTTTAATATAATATAATTATTTTATCTTTTCATATATATATATATATTATATATAATATAATAAATAATATACTAATATAATAAATAATATACTAATATACTAATATAATAAATAACATACTTATATAATAAATTATATATTTAATAGAATGATTAAATATAGAAATTTTTTTAAAATGAGGCTGCTAATGTTTATATCTGGGTATATATCAAGGCAAAAAATGTTATCTGGATCAGAAAATTGTTTGATCTTGAATATACAATGAAGGCATCGTTACAATAGTTGGTATTACAACAGTATGTCTTCTCAGATTCTCCTTAAAAAAATAACCATAAGCATTATTAATAAAAATGCAATATGACTGACTTGTTTTTCTTTGGTCATAGCATAACGGACTACAGCCTTTTCCAACAATTTGTCGTGAATTGTCTAGATAGATTGTCTTCTAAAAAATAATTTTTAATTTGTTTTTTAACTAAGCCACATATTTTTTTAATATACTACATTATATTTTTTAAAATAAAAGAATTTGGATTCATTAAATAAAATTAATTATTATCGATTATTTAATTAGTGATAAATGATTATAAATAAATTAATTATCTTACCAAATCACTAAACGAAGAAAGTAACATAAACTAGAGTAATTGAGATTAGGATAATAAATATTAGGCAAATTAAACACTAAACTAAATACAAGCAATTAGAATATGATAAATCAAATAATATTAATTGCAGGTAAATGTCCCAAAATAAATTTCTCAGACCTTGATATAAGCTCTACCTACAAGGTAAAGATATGTTACGAAGCAGATTTGTATATTATGGTGAACTTTGTGAATCGCTAAATTAATATTTTGAATTATAAATGTTCCATTTATATAATTTTTAATCAACATGAATAAAAATTATTTTTTTCAATAATAGATTATCCTTATATAAGATATAAAAAGGACTCCTATTTAATGGTTTAGAAAAAATACTGAATGCTTAGAATTATGTCTTAGTGCTTAGATAAAAATTTAATTGCCCAGAGAAAATACTAATTGCTTATAAACTGGTGCAGATTGAAAAAAATTGAATCTATTAGAAAAATATATGAAATACTTAGAAGTGGTCACTTAATTGCTCAGAAATATTTTTCCTTAGTACTATTTATTTTCAGAATTAGTATACGATTATAAATTTTCAAAAAAACCTGTTCCCATGGACTTCTGCACCCTCTAATTTCAATAACAATCTTAAGTCACCCCCCCCCCCCCATTATCATAGTCTTATCCTGTTCTTTAAAATAAAAATAACTAATTACGAGGGCTTATTTTAAGTGAATCTATTGATTTTTAAAAATGTTGACTAAATAAAAATGTAAATTAACATTCAGGAATCTTTCGCATAATACTTATGTTTGAAATGTTAGAAAATCAGAAAGCTCTTAAAGATATAGTCATGAGTACAGATTCCAAAGTATTCAGCAGATCTTTATATTAGCTTTTATAAGATACCAATATTGAAATATTATGTTAGAATTTGTCAGAGACCTGCAGACCCGGCCAATAATTTTTTTAAATATACCCTGACCGGGCCTAAAAATAAATTTAAATACCCGGGCTGGGCCTAAAAATTTATTTTTAAAAATACCCGGGCTAGGTTTTATATTTTTTTTTTAAACCAAATATTTTAAATCGCCAGTTGCCATTATTAGCTACAAAAATTAAAAATAAATAGAATATATTTTTAAAAAATCGGGGCCGGGCCGTACAGGTGGGACATTTGCAGGTCTATGGAATTTGTTAGTTCCGCCACCCCACTCTGAATAATAGAGTTATAATTATCATATAATAAATTTATCCCTTTCAAGATTATATACTAGAAACCTTTTAACCCCACTGCACCTCCTCCTGAAATGGTAGAGTGATGAGCATCAATGTAATCAATCGATCACTTTATTAGTTTACATTTAATCCCACTTTGATATATTATGCTAGGATATTTTTAACCCCCCAATCCTACCATACCCATTTTGAAGAGGTGAGTATTTAAAAAATCAAACGATTTTTATAAGGTTTTACTTGCTACCCGATTTAGCAACCTTCTCCCCCCTTCCCCTCAGCTTCCATACTAACTCTGGAATGATGAGTATTAATGTAATCAATTCTATTAGATTCCATTCTATACACATGTTGAGATATTTTACTATGCACTTTATACCCCCCACCCCAACACCACCTCGGTACATAGTGATGAGTATCACTGTAATTAATTGATCTTTGTATTAACTTTCATTTGATTCTCATGATGACATATTATATATAAAAAATTAATTCCCACTCCAACAAGTTTCCTGGTGACATTGAGTGATGAGTATTTGTATAATCAATTAATTTCTTACTCGCTTTCATTTGATACCCTTGACAAGATATTATGTTTAAAATTTTACCCCCTTCCCCACCTAACCTGTTGACATATATTGCTGAGTAGCAATGTAATAATTTATCTTTTTAGCTTTCATTTGATACCCATGTTGACATATCATATCGAAATTCCCACTCCTCCCAGCACCTACCTTGATGACATAGAGTGTAGAGCATCAATGTAGTCGATTTATCTTTTTATTAGCTTTCATTTGATACCCATGACATGATATTATGTTTAAAAAAGCCCCTACTCTCCTCTCATGACCCAAAACTCGAGAGCATAGTTTAATAAAACTTAGCAAGAGCATAGATTAATAAAATTCAACAATTCATTTGATTACCTTTAATTTGAAAATGAATTATTTTAATAGCAAATATTTCTAAGCGATTTACTATTTTTTCCGAGAAGTTGAATAAAAAAATTCTGAGAAAATCAAAATTTTTACTTTGCATTAATTCTTAGCTTTTCAGTGTTTATGCTGTGCAAAATAAAAGTCTATAAAAAGTATTAAATAAAAAATATTTCTACAATATTTTTGTTTGGAAAACTACATGTCAGTGGGTAGTATATTGGGATGCTCCTTAAGTTACTCGTGTTGCCTACCTTTTATTAAACGGGCAATTAGAAGAAACCAACATTTTTCAACTCTAAAATCGTAATAAAACAATTTCAACTTTCAGTATCCCTTAAAAAGTGTTTTTTATGGGCTCAGATTTCCTTCAAACCCCATCACCCTAATTGCATATATTCGCTAGGACCCTTTTCAACAATAAATAATCTTTTAAAAAACCTTCCACGCTGAAGCCCATAGAATTAAGCCCTGTCCTAGATAGCGATTTATAGTTACTATAATTATATATCTTGAGACACTTGTCCTAACATATTAGATGATAGAAAAATTAATTGATTTAGTAATTATAAAAATTAAAAGCCAATAATTATATATGAAAATTAATTTTTAACATATTTTACATAAAATATTATTAATATGTTTCGCGAAAACATTAAATATTTTTATCGTTATTTTGTCGCGCTACATATAGCGCTGTTTTTCCCTAGGGACTCCATTTTAATATATATTTAATAAATTTATGCGGGAAGGTGGCGCTAGAAAATTGCTCTCTGTGATATGGCCTTGTTTCACAAATTATATTGTAACAAAATCATACCGTGGGCAAACAGCTTTAATTAAAAAAGTACCCCCGATATCACGTTTCTGTTTCTCTGTTGCTATTTTTTTTATCATTAGATTCAATGTTCTTTGAATTTGCTAAATCTCCTCCTATGTCTTTAATAATCAGATCTATTATAAATGGCTTGGTCTGCAAACAAACTTAATGTCTGCTATATAGGGTAATTATTCATATTTTTTTTTAAATTTATTTCGATACTTTGCTTTTATCGCTAAATCTTAAAAAATCAATTAAAATGTCGATTTCTTTATGGCATGAACGCTGTAAAGTCTCTAGATTTGATCCATGGTCTTGAGAAATTATTTTCTTACAATTTCCTAATTTGAAATTTTAAGAAATGTCAGATGAAAAATATGTATGGCCTACTATTATAAAAGTCGAAAACGTTCTCGGGAATTTCGGGCATATTCACGGGAATGAAATTCAAAATTTCGATTAAATCTCTGGAATATTTTTAATTAATACCTAATATTTGAATATCATTAGATTCATTGAATTTATGAAAAATTATTTATCATATACCTTACAACGATTTTCCCCTAAGGCATTTATTATATCAGCTGATTTTTATCTAGATATAGGTGTATTAATACATTTCTCTTAGCTACATTTGTATCTAGCTACTGTCCATTTTATATCTTAACTTCCAATTTTTGACCTAGGTTTAAATTCCAGTGTGTAAAATGTTCTTGCTGAAACGAAGTCAAGTGGAATCAATTGGTAATTTAGTGTTATGGTTATCAGAAATTGTTTAGGATTAGTTATTTTTAAAAAAAATAGGTTGATTTTAAATTTACCAGTTATTTAAAGGCATGCTTATGGGCGAGTGATATGAGATACTTTATTTAATTTCCTATTTTTGCTCAAAAACTTATATAATATCATATTTGGCATTTCAAATTATATTTTATTTGGTATTATTTATTTATAAATGTATATGAGGTCAGGATTCCGATATTATATCAGAAAAGATTCTAAGATTATTATAAAGTGACTTACTCGACAATACCCATCACAAGATGACTTGCCATAAATTTTAGAACTATTAAATGGCTCTAGACAAGTTGAGGGTCGATTTGGCATGGTATTTGTTAAGAATGTTGGAAAACTTCCACAAGTATAGCAATCGATTGAACCAACATATATAATTGTTTTCATTATAAATATTATGGAATAAATTAGAAATGTTTGCATTGAAATATAAAATAATTAGCTAATAAATTAATCTTTATAAAAAAATTCGTATTAATAATCAATAATATATTTAATTTCATAGTGTTATAATATTAAAATTTATATTATATTATCAATTTATCTTTTTCTTTAATTTGTTATAAAATAATTTATAGTAGCTTGATTTTAGATTGTAATGCTAAGTGTCGTCAGATTTGAGAATTTATTTTATAAAAATGCTTTAAAATTTTTTTTATATAAGGGATTTAATATATTAGGTGATATTATCTGTAGTCAGATTACAGGGTTTACTGTTTAAAATGCAAATTTTGGTCTGGATTGATGAATCTAAAATTGAGTATTTATTTTTAATTTTGTTTCGCTATAAATATTTGCCGAAAAAGTTCATATCATCGACTTTGAACTGAAAATAAGTTGATGGATAGCAAGGCAGAACAGTGTCTCTAAAAGATCCTGTTGAACATCCCTAGAGTGAATTAGAAACTAAAAAGATCCGAATATGAGAATAGAGTGGAATCAGCGTCTAAAAGAAAAATAAATAAAATTTGAGGCAACGCGCTTGAGATTTACACCCCAAAATTTTCTTATTTCCCTCCCTCAAAGATATATTGAGGCGAATAGTTCCAATCCCCTCTCCACTTCCACCTCACCCATCTACTTTCATGAAGCCACTAAGAAATTATAAGAAGATTTAATGAATTTGGTATATATAATTGTTAAATATTTAGTAAAATATGTTTTGATACGTTTATTGGGACACCATTAAAATATCTAAGATGCATCCTTATCTACACGATAATTTTCAATTCCACCTTTGGTTTATGGTATTTGGAGAGATTCCACAGTCAGGCTTCGTTTGCGATTAAACGAGCTTTAAAAATATTCTATTTTTTTAAATAGGGATATTCTTATGAGGAAAATATATACCAAGAAGAAACAGATCCTCTCATTTACAATTTATCTATATAATTCAATAAATACTTCCAATTTAAAAAATTTGTTGATAAAATTATGTTATTAAAACGATTAAAATATTGTAGTCACAAATGCATATATCAGAGACCTACATGGGCCGAGCCGACCTTCGGCCTATACCTGCCCCATGGGGCGGGTATGGGTCTAATATAATATTTTCTGGCGGGGGCATGGCTTTTTAAATTTATTTTAATGGGCTTGGGCCTAGTCCGAGTCTAAATTTAAAAAAATAAATTAAGCTTATTTATTAAAGCAGTTTCAAACTTAAAAAATATTGCGATTTTTTTCTTCTAATAACAATAAATTACAATATTGTAAACAAAATGATTGGCCAAATATACTAAATATTTATTTTCATTTAAATACAATAAATTAAATTTTTGGATATGAGCTTTGGAGAAAATTTTAAACTTTTTATAAGCTTGGGAATTTTTTTAAATTAAATATCCGGGTCCAGCCAGAGCCTAAATTTTTTTTCTGAGGACCTCATCCGGTTTTAATCAAAAAATTAAGACCCATGAAGGTCTTTGGCTCATATATAGAATATCGGTATCACTTTGAGCCTATACCAATATGAAACTCTCTAAAGGTTAGTTGCGTAACTTTTGGATGTAATTTTGCTATATAAAAAATTTATATTTGCTAGCAAAATTTTTTAAATATTTTTATGATTAATCATAAAAATCGTTAGTTTCTTAGAACATTTTTATTTATTATTTAATAGAATAAAAACAAAGTTTCCCGTCTCAAGCTTTTCTGTTTTCAGGTTGTATATGTCTTATTCATATAGGGATGTGAAAATAACTCTAACAAATTTAATATATTATTTTCAAAATATACTTCAAATTACAAGAGTTATACTACTTTAAAAAATTACCTTGGATTACATGTATTATTCATTTTAAACAGTTTAAATGCAAAGCGTTGGAAACTTTCTTTACTTCAAATTCGACTTTTTCGTCTTCATGAGGTTTCTTAAATTTATTCATGATTTATTTTTTAAAAGTTTAATTTTCTCGAATATAATGTATTACATTTTTGAAAAAAAAAAAATATTTGTAATTTATTTTTATTAAATAGTTAAATGCATTTAATTGTTTTTGAAAAAATATTTCAATTAAAATTATTGAAAAGCTGTGAATAAATATTTATTTGAGTTAAAAAATTTGAGGAAATAGAATTATCATCTGTAATCATTTTCTTAAAGTATATTATAACAAATTAATACAAAATTTAGTCGGAGTATGTAAAATACAATAACAAAAACCTATTATTAACCATGCAAATTATTAATCTCTCCATCACTATATTGGAGAAGTTGGAGGTACCTTATTAAACGGAGAAACCTAACATCTCACTAACTAACGAAAACTTTAAAATTATATCCATCAATGAAGGATCTCTTACATGTAACTTTCAATTCTATTTGTTTTTTGGCTAATATTTTATTCTGGTAAGTTAAAAGAATCTTTAAATGAAAAATATTCATCATCCTACGCTTGATCGTTATTGACTATTGTAATTGGAGAAGAACTTAGCGATTTCATTTTAAGTGCTAAAGCTTAATTAAGAATACTAAATTTGTAAAATGGGTGTGATATTGAGGTTAAAATAGCTGAATTAGAATCATAATTAAATGCAAAAAAGAATTACGTGATTTCAGCGCTAAGCCCTCTAGTATATAAGCAACAGAGCTACTCTAGGTTATCCTCAAATCCATCAAACTGGATATTTAATATAGGGGGGAAAATAAGGAGCCCTTCACACGTTTGTGGGAAAACCGCTTAGTATTATTAAGACGGTGGGCATAGAAACATAGCCCACACCCATAAATTTCATATATATTTTAATACTTTATAAGGCCAGGGAAGAACCGATTTTAATTTTAAATTACTATATATCTATGTTAAATGAGTAGATCCCGATGGTTGGAAATACTGAGCAAATAACTTTATATCATGTTGATGTTAGTAGTTAAAATAAATCGAATGTAATGAATGTAGAAGATATCTAGAAAATGGATATATTTATATAATTAAGAGCCCTTGTTGAATCTTCCAAAATTGTTGCACCAGATGAACCGCAACTATAAACCAAAAGAAAAAGAAAATTTTAAAGACTTATGTCGCAAAAAAGAAATTCTAATCATATCAGCTGCGATCTATTTAAAATCGGATTCAGGATAGATGAATAATGTGTAAGGGTAGTTGTTTCTATTTTTGCAATAAAATAATTTTATAGGCACCAACCCGGCCAATATTTAATATTAAAAAAAATTCCAAGCCTGTCTCAAGCCCATATAAGTTTCAAAAATTTTGCCGAAGATCGGTCCAAGTCCTAAAATTTTAATTTATTGTAATAAAAATAAATAATATTCAATGTAGCAATCATTTTGTTGATAATACTGAAATTTATTATTATTAGAAGAAGAAAATAATATTTTTTTTAAGTTAGCAACTTTTTAAATAAGCTAAATATATTTTAAAAAATTTAGTGCCATGTCCACTAAAAAAAATTCCATTTCAAAAACTCATACTCAGATCAGGCCCGCTAGATTATATTTTACCTCTACCACGCCCATGGGCAGGGTGTCTATGTGCCATAAGGTCTCTGCTAGGTATTCAGAATAGGACTCATTTTGGTATAGTAGTTTGTCCACGGTAATATGGATTGGTGTTAGATTAGATATATATCCCTTTATAAATTTATATTTCGCTTGTTTTAAGTTTGGAAGATTACATTTTCAAATTTTTTTCCAATTTCGATAGATTCTTATCAGTGATGCTGCAGTTAGGACTCGAACCTGGACGCACTTTATAAATAAACATTTATTAGATAACATATTCGTTAAAAAATTTTTCGCTTTCAATATCACTACTATTACTAAAATTAATAATATCTATTATTGGTATTTTGCTGTGAGACATTCTACAAACCCTCACCTCAAAAGATATGTCCTAATAAATTCAAATCCCTCTATTTATTAGATTCTTATGGTTAAAATTTTAGTTTTGCCAATAGAAAAAAGAATTCTATTTGAGTGTTTTATATTTATTAGAATAAAAAAAATTAATTTATATTTAATTTTTTATTTAGATTTTTGTAAAAACTAGTAGATAACCTGTCAAAAAGGAAGGGGAATAAGAATTTTCTTCTTACTTTTATGATAGTTGTTACTGAAAATAATATCCAATTTTTATTCTTTTTACCCCCTCCCCCTTCAGGCCAGGATCAATCCATTAAAACTAAGTGTAAATACTATGGTTTGAGTAAAAATAAATTTAAAGCTTTTACTTTATAATGCCAGTAATATTTGTTAAATATTACTGATCACCAGGCGCGTACGCAGGAATTTGGTCTGGTGGGGGGGGGATAATAAAATTTTTTAAGAATATTATTGTTTTTTAAAAATATCAAGCATAAATTTATTAGGACTAATCTATTTCTAATACACAATTTTAAATTAATGTGAATTATAAAAAAATTATATGTAAAAAATAACTTAAATGACCCAAAATAGAAATTTGAATTTTTTGAGCCTTTAAAATTTATATATAAAGTATAAAAAATTTAAATGTTAGAAATATAAATTAATACACAAAAAGTTTCTTAGGAATAATTGTATTTTGTATGTTATATATTTACAACGTAAAATCCAATCTTCATTGGGATTGAGCTATCAATTACCTCATCCTTGCTTGTCGTCAAATGTCTATGAATATTCAAAAGATCCAAACCTTTTTATCTACTTTCAGAAGTTGTACTTCTTGGTATGTTTTTCAGAGACCTGCAGGCCCGGCCCCCTGGCCGAACCGTATTTTAATTTATTTAAATATACCCGGGCCGGGCCTGAAATTATGTAAAAAAAACACCCGGGCTGGGCATGAATTTTTTTAAAAAAACACCCAGGCCGGGCCTAAAAATTTTTTTAAAAAAAAGCCGGGTCACCTGGAAATTTTTTTAAAAAAAGAAGGGCCGGGCCTGAAAACTTTTTAAGACAATCCTAGCTGGACCGTAAAATTTTTTTAAAAAATCCGGGCAGTGTCCTGCAAATGGCACCTCTGCAGGGCTATGTTATTCTTCTTAAAAAGAGAATATTCTCTCATCAGTTTACTAATGGAGAGAGTTGCTAATATATAAAACCTTTTAATACATTGGGAATATAATCTAAAATGTGTTTGAAATAATGCAGAGCATCCATAAAAATTTTTTGGGACTATATCAACCATAGTTAATCTTATAAACACAGTTATTCAGCTTATAAGGCAACATAAGATACTTTAACATCTTCATGATAAAAATCCAACAAATATTTTTTTCTATCACCATCTGAAAAAGATTGGGAAGGCTTTTATGGAAGTAATATTTGCAGATTGGTAAGTGCTGCATGATGAATAAAAAACCATTCATTTATTTGGGTTATAAATGTATCTGTATCTAAGATATACTCTTCTACTGATCCTATATTAATGTTTTAACTATAAGCTTGCCTTGCTTCACGTCAAGGGAGACAAATATTAAACACGTAGAGCTCTGCTTTTGACTTAACAATATCATATAAAATATAAAATTCTTCATCAACATTAGCCCTAATTTCTTTGAATTCTAATAAAATGCTCTCCACTATTCTCATTTTCTTAATCAAGTCAATGGCATGTTTTTGAAAAGTAATACATAAAATACATTCTAATGAGAAAAAAATTTTGAAATAAGCATTATCCAATAATTTTCTTGCTTCTGAGAAAATATTTCTTTCAGGCCATTGTGATATTTCAGTAATAGCAAATAATCGGCTCTTCTAACTCCATAAAAGCTGTTACTCCTTGATGACGGATACTCTATCTCTTTGGACAAGGTTGTAATTTCTTTCTCCCTTTGACTAGAAATTTGAAAATGGTAGATAAATATTACGACGGAAAACTTGAAATCGAAATTAATTGATAAAATAAATAACTTAGTTGATGAATATGATAATAAATGTAATTAAATATATATTTAATATGAGATAGGAATAAATATTAATAAAAATAAATTAATATAAACAATAATATTATTGAAAAATATATCCGGCAACTGCATTTTTTGGCTTTCTCGCTGCGTACGCGCCTGCTGATCACTTAATATTTAATATTATAAAAAATTCTCAGGCAAAGTACGAAGCCATAATAATTTTGAAAAATTCTTCCAAGCCGAATTATTTTATAAAGAATTTTACATAATAATTTTGGTAGGTAAGAACTAAAATAAAATATTTAAATAATCATCATGAATTTAAAAATACAATCAAAATCAGGTTTTCCTGGGCCTTGGTTTTTTGATCAGACTGAGCCAAGGACTGCAAAAATAATTTTTAGGCCAATGTCTGACACATAGTTAATAATAAAAAAATTCCCAAGCGTCCAAGCTGATAATAATTTTGAAAAATTTCCCCAAGCCCAGCCCAATATAATTTATAAAAACATTTTCCAAGCCCAGCCCAACTTATAATAATTTTATCAAGTCTGGCCAACCCATAGTAATTTTCAAAATTTTTTCCTAAACCTGGAGACAGGTAAATCTCTAAAACCATATTATTTTTTATTCTTTTTACCTAATTTAGACCAATGCCAACCCATTAAGACTAAAAGTGAATACTATTTTTCGAGTAAAAATATATTTAAATTAGCTTTTACCTGAGAGCCAGATAAATATGCAGTGTTAAATATTACGCCTATGCCTAATATTAAAAAAATTAATAAGGCAGGTCCATGCACTTGGGAAAATTTTCTCAAACCCGCCAAAGACCATAATAATTTTGGTAGTTGAGAACTGAAATAAAATAATAAAAAGTCATAATGCATTTAAGAATACAAGCAGAATAAGAAAGTTGCATGGGCCTTGATCAGGCCTGACCATGTCTTCAAAAAAAATATCAGGCTAATGTCTAGCCCATATTTAAAATTAAATTTTCAAGCATCTAAGACCATAATAATTTTGAAAAATTTTTCCCAAACCAGGTCCAAGCACTTATTAATTGTGAAAAATATTTCCCAAGCCCAGCAAAACCCATAATAATTTATTTTTTCCTTGGATCCAGAAAAATATGTTCGATGTATGGGGTTTACAAAAATTAAAGTCTAATATGTACTTTTTTTGATATTATTGGTGGATAATTTTTCAAAATAATTTATCATCAAATGAAGGGGAAATATCTGATTTACCCATCATTCTATTGGTTAAATTCATGGATACATATTAAAGTACCATACCTTATAAAAATCAGTGAAAATATGTTCATCCTAATTTATATTTTAAACAAACCACCACCCTCCAAATGATTTATTACGTAGGTACAAAATATAAAATTAAATTTAAGACATTATTATTAAATTACAATAGAAAAAATAAAAAGATATTCTAAGTTAACAAATAGGTTAACTTCAATCATAGATAAATTATATATAAGTAAAACAAAAAGGTTATACATTTAATCAAAAATGTTATAATAAGTTATGAATAACATACATTCTACAATTATGAAGTTATGAGAAAATATACAAAACTATATAATGCATGTAGAAAGGCCAAATTTTCAGAAAGGATAAGAGATGCAAATATTTACTTATGCTTAAAAATTACCTAACTAAAAAATATTATAGTTATATAAAATTCAAATATTTAATTTTTAATAATGGAAGGCACAAAGCACACTTTGATAACACAAAACTCTCATCTAGCAAGAATAAATTTTTAGATTATAAATTACAAATACAATTAAATAAAAATTTAGTTTAAGAGATTTTTTAATTGTGCACATAAATTAAAAATACTAAATATATACTTTATTAACATATTTTATAAAAATAATGGAAAATTTTAGAATAACCCCAAATAAATACAATTTTTTAAATAACTATCATAAGATAGGAAAATTTCTGATTCATTCAAAATCAAATAAAGGAGAAAATTCTGATTCCCCAATATAATGATCTAAAATTTTAAATTATACATAAATTCAAGAATTAAAATAGTATTTAAATAAATCTCTTATTCCTTTGAATTGGTACTTGATGCATTTAAAGTTCTACTGAACCCTAAATATTCAGGAATAAGTATAATATTAGGTGTGTATTCAGTGCATTCAATGCACATTCTAGTTTTTCTCCTGGACTGATATTTTTCATATAATTACATATGGAACAATGATTAATTGGCATGGATTTAGGAGGAGGAATAAAAAGTGTTTGATTTTCTAACTCCAAAATAATTAAAAATTTATTAATATCAAAAATTTACTTTGATATAAACTACTATTTCTGAAAGTGCCATAATCATTTTCACATCTGTATATATGAATTTGTAATTTCTATCAGCTAAACCATACAATTTATAAAAGATCTATAATTGTAAAAATGGGTTCCAGATTTTGAAGGACTTTTTATTTTTATGTACTTAACATCTAATGAGACAGGCAGTTTGGAAATCCATGATTCTCAAAATATTCTTGTGCAATCTAAAAATATATTAATATCTAAATTTAATACCTTCTCACAATGTTCTCTAGATGGAACAGGATATCTTTTAAAGTTTTCCATATAGCATCACATACCTCTGGATTATGCATTTGTATATTCGCCATACTATAAATCACATGGGAATTACTATTGGCTTAAAATTGCTATGATGATTATCTTTGGATAAATATTTTTTAAAAAACACTATTTGTTAAATTTGTTTGAACATTTTTGAGGATTATTATAATAGATTTCGGATTACATTTTTGTTGTGTTTTAATGGTACATAAATATATGTTTTTTTGTAAGATATTCGTAATTTTATACAAAGCCTGTTTTTATATTTTATTCAAAACTGGTCCTAGCCAGTTTCGAGATTGGCCATTACATGAAATTAATATTATAACAATACGTCGATATTTTTTTTATTGTTGTTTGATTGTAAAATGTTTAGTATATAAGGACCCCCTAAAATGAATTATAGATCATAAAAATAATTACGTTCTTTATCTTTTGCTATTTTGTTTTATTATTATTAGTAAACCAAAAGATATTGTAATAGGTTTTATTTAGTACGGTTACCTATTTAGTTTAAAATAATTATACGAGTTATCGGCTTAAAATCCAGTTTAATACGATGACAAAAATGCCTGCTAAGTCCGGTCCCCTAGTCTTCTTCTCCGAAAATCCCGGACCCACGAACTCAGTAGATCTTTCCCCCACCAAGATGGTTGCACTCGATTGTCCAAACCTTTCACCGCCGCACAACGTGGGGCTCGAATCTCCGAAGTGGGATGAAAGGAATAGATTTCAGCTGGAGCCTAGATTTCATTGCATAGCTTATGCTATTAAAGCATTTGCATTTATGGTAATGGTTTCACCATCCTGTTGTATACAATGGCAAAGTTTATCGCCCTTGGTTACTATTATAGTTGCCTAGAATCAACTTTATGTCATGCATTAATAGTTCAGCCATGGATTTTGTAGCAAAAGCCATTTTTATTTTTGTATATAACCTGTTACCACAAGATGATAAGAATAATGATTACAGATTTTTGTCCGTCGGGTTTCGGTGATGAGCATAAAACGTTCGAGATATTGATCGGTTACCTTATATCGTAGATTATCGAATACATGTTGGGCGCCAGTGAAAAGTTTGGACAGTCGTCTAACCATCGGGGGTGGGGGAGATCGACGGAGTTCATGGATCCGGGATTGTCGGAGGAGGAGACTGAGGCCCGGACTTAGCAGGCATTTTTGTCATCGTATTAAACTGGATTTTAAGCTGAAAACTTGTATATTTATTTTAAACTAAATAGGTAACCGTAAAAAATGAAATCTATCACAATATCTTTTAGTTTACCAAAAAATAGCAAAAGAAAAAGAACGTAATTATTTTAATGATCTATAATACATTTTAGAGGGTCCTTATATATCAAAGATTTTAATCAAACTATAATAAAAAAAATATAGATGTATTGTTATAATATTAATTTCATATAATAGCCGGCCAATCTCGAAAACTGGCTAGGACCAAAAAACAAGCTTTGTATAAAATTACATTACGAATATCGTACAAAAAAACATATAATTATAGTACCATTAAAACACAACAATTTTAAATGACGTTACTCAAAAAATGTTATATATTAATTATTTTAGGTTACTTCCACAATTTTGATTTGGATTACAAACATTATAGATTACAAACAAAGAAATTAATAATCACTGGATTCGTACATAAAATACGGGGAGCAGAAATATTTACGCAATTTTTAAAAATGCATATTTTATATTTCTTATAATATGTAAGTAGTAGTGCTGTGTTGTTATAAAGCCCGATTTGGGTCGATTTTTAAAAAGGTCCGATTAAGATTTTGACCAAAATAACATTATGAACCACAAGATTTTGTAAATAGACGTCTGCCATCTGTAATATCTTCAGGTTTGCATAATATTATTATAGTTACTGATCTGTGTTATTATTTATATATTTAAAGTATAAAAATTATTCAAAATTTCATCTATATATTAAATAATATTAATTTAATGATAAAGGTAAGATTTTTGAGCATTGAATATCAGTGATTATTTATTATTGTCAAATTAAAAGATTCGTGGATGTTTAAAGAAAACATTTACATATGTTTTGTACACCTGAATGAGCCATAGACCTGAACAATAATTGATATGCATAATCGCAAACCCAAACCATATATCTCCCGTTCACCTTCAATGAAATTAATATTGCGAAAGAATACCAAACCAATTTGTACCTCAAGTGGCAAAAAAGTTATTTTAGTTTTGATATATAATATTAATTTTCTAGATATTTTATACTATTTACTATAACTTTATAATATCACTTCAAATTTTTTTAAAAATTTGTGTAATGTTTTTTAAAATTTATTTAAAAAAAATTGGCAATGTCACATAAAATACATTTTGATTCTATCATTATTAAATGTAATTTGATAATTAATAAATTAATATTGCATATAATCAAGAAAATCTATTTATTACTTTAATGCAATAAATTACCTAGAAATTTTTGTATTGATAAACTTATTTAATTAAAACAAACAACATTTTTATATCATATTTTGGTAAGACAGTTAATTTTTTAGTTTGATTAAACAATAGCCTTAGGTTGATTTTTTTAAGGGGATATATATCTTTAATTAGAGATGACTGGTCAATTTGATATAATTTTATTGTTTTTAATAAAATTGTAATTTAAGATTTTTTGAGACCTGAAGAATTATTAATTTTCAGGATTAGTTACAATATAATTTCTTTTCCCATTTTCAAGCTCAGCCATTTTTAAAATTTGGCCTCACTGAATATTTTTTAGCAGCCTTTTATAAATGATTGCAAAGATAAATCTAAAATATTAAAGAAAATAAATGCTTAAATTTCAAGATTTTATCCGTCATTTGATATAATATACATATATTTTAAAAAATTACCTGGCTGTTGTTGATATTTTTATTTATTTTTAGACCCAGTTTTATAATTTCTTTTTATTTTTTTCTAAGTCTAAATTTTTATACTCATACCTTATATGAGGCTTTGGTCTGGTCTGCTATCAAATTTTTTTTCAATAAAATTGGAATTAATATTTATTTTTACATTTAATTTTGTAAATAATTTAAATATTTGTTAATAAGTAATAATAACCAATAGAATTTAGCATTCCTCATGGTGGTTACCTGTTATGTTGCTATACCTCACCAAATTTTTATTATATATATATATTTATTAAATAATATAAATGGCTTATCTAAAATGATGTTTTCCTTAAATAATATTTTAATAAAAAATTGAGATAGTTTTTTTTATTAGATTTTTGCTTCATTGCATTTAATAAATTATTATTGCAATTTTAAATATAAGTTTATACTTTAAAAGTTGGATTTAACTACTTGGTCAAAATATTGTGGATAAATGTTTTAATTTATATTTATAATAATATATAGTATAATATAATATGATCAATGATTAAATAAAAATATGCCTATAATAATTACTAGAGGTTTCATAATATTTTTATATTGATATCTAAACAAAAATCTGCTTTCATTTCTTTTAAATTGATAAATCATCCTCCTTAATTTTCTTATTCTATAAAATAATTTTGGAAATTTCTTCTATTCCAAGGGCTTGAAAAAATCTATGGAAAAATTACTATAAACTATAGCCATTCAACGACCTTTAGTGTTAAGACAGGAATGAATTTGACGACCCTTGATCATTCTCCAATTTACCTAAGCTCAAAAAATTAAAATAACTGATTTTGTCATTTTTAAAATGGGATTTGTAAAAAGCTACTTGATAAAGTAGGTAATATTTGTTTTTGTATCTACTTTTCTATAAATATGATAAGTAAGTTTTTTTATTATTTCGTATAGTGGAAGCCTTATCCAAGACCTTTCGAGTTTACCAGATTGTATTTATAATTAATTTCAAACACTCTAATTTGTATTTGAGTAATTTTCCTATTTTGCTAATAGCATTTTTATTTATATAGTGCTTTTCAAAGTTTGGCAAACTTCATGTTTAGGACTGCTTCAAGTTGGATTTATATATATTTTTTAAATATAATTCGAATCAAAATATAATAAGATTTAAACTATTTTACTTCTATATCTGTTAAATAAACATACATAAAGATCAGAGAATAATAAAATTCAAATATTGAATCATGGGAAAGAAACCTTAATATATTTAGATATACTTAATTTTTATATTGCATTAAAATATTTAAGACTTAGCCTATGGCATGCTGTTATTTTTATTTCGTTTATAACTGAAAAAATGATTGACTAGTTAATAAGTTCTGATTAGGCAATACAGACTCACCTAGATATTCAGTGCTTAATTTTTCTTCTAGCATAATCAAACTTAGCAAATTTTTTTTATCAATTATATATTTTTTAAAAATTTATCTACCAAACGGGTTGAATATTAAATTTACTAAATATGCATTAATTTATTTATATAATTTCAAAGTCAATACTTTCAGAAGTTTATCTAACTTGATGCTTAAGGCGTGATATCATAGTTTTTATTTAGCTTCTAGGTCTGCTACATTTTTGTGGCTGGCGAAATTGATTGAAGAATTAAAGGTACTAAATATTAAGACAAACTAGATATTGCAACTTATGTGTTCTCCTTTCTGGCGTGAAATTTTGATATTTTTTCCCATTTAAATTAAACATCTACCAAAGATTTCTATTCTGGCATAATGCCAATTTTAGCAATTTTTCTTAACTAATCATTTTTTCCTTTAATGCTATCTGCCAAAGGGATTAAAATAATATACAATTAAGCACTAAACAATTGATAAAATTTGGAGAATTCATAATAAAATTTTCGACTTTTATTTCAACGCCTTTATGTTTTTCCATAAGAGGAAATTTTGTTTCTAAAACCTTAAACTATAATTATAGCAATTATGCTTTATGTGTTCTTGAATATAACAATATATTATGAACTTTTTTCTCTATTTTAAATTAACTTGTTAATTTATTTTATTATGATAACATGAATTTATTGAATATATCAAATAATCAAAGTTTGTATTACACTGATAATCTAATAATTAGTTAAAATTGGAAAAATTATATTATTGTTAATACTCCTACTATAACCTCTTATGTAATTGATAAATGGATATTTCATTATATTTAGCACCAAATTCTTTTAGAGTTTAGGTCATTCCATATCAAATCGATCACGATTCGGCCGATCCCTTAAAATTTCTGAAATTATTTAGATGGGTAAAAAATGAGAAAGTCGTTTATTTTAGCTTGCTAGCACACCTGGTTCTCGAGATATAGGGGCACATAGATGCAAAAAAGAGTAATTTTAAAATCTGTAAAATTTTTATGCTTATATCTCAAAAACTATTTATAATAAAAAATATAATATATCATATTGTAGGTAAAACACTTTTTAATATCAAAAAATAAAAAAGCTTCAATTTCTGTCTTTAACTTCCTTACCTATATTGCTTTACCTATGTTTTAATCAATAAAGGGAGTTTGTTTTCTATTAGATATACCTATTAAACTGAGAGGCAGTGGGGCAAATGCCCATTAGACACTTAATAATATAACAAATTTCCAATAATAAATATCCTTCATATAATTTTTATTATTATTCATTTTTATTAATAAGATAGAAGTATAGATAGATAATAATATTCATCCCATAATTTAAAATATATTTGTAACAAAATTTAGTTAGATATATTTATATAATTATATATTTTAAGCAAATAAATTAAAAGGATAAATAGTTTTAATTGTCTCATCCTTATGTAAAGTAGTGATTTGTATCGGGCCTAATTTTTCAAGCCCGACCCGGCCCGATCCGAACCCGATAATTGGGCCCGGCCCGAAGCCCGTTTGGGCCGGGTACGGGCCGGGTCTAACTTTGCAGATCTCTAATGTAAGGTATATGTTCGTCCGGTAGCAGTTGAACTGATTACATCTAAAATTTGTGATTTATGTATCCACAATTTGTCAACCAGGGAGGTATATGTATAAGAATTGAGGGTCCTTGAGGATGTAAAAATTAACTAACACCTCTTTTTCGATTTTTTTTCTAAAACATCGGCTACCCACTATTTATTTTCATAGATACATGTTATACCTCCATTTCTTTTTCATATATTTAATTTGCATTAATATTTGAATGAAATGTTATATTTAATATTTGCGATTCTGTTGGGTTTGAATAAAATTTAGCTCCAATTCTATCCTGAGAAATTGGATGAAAAGTATAAAATTTTTCGTTCCTGGTATTGTACGCGCTTTATTGAATCTCTCTTCTAAAATTATTTGCTCTTTTTCACATTCGCTTTCCATAATATAGGAGAAATCTATTCCTTAATAAAAAAAATTATTAATAAATTAGAAATCTTATACCTTTAATATTTTCCTTAGAATAGGTAAAAAACTCTTTAGGACAAGTTATTTGTTCTGAAACAGGCCTTTGTAAACTAGCTCTGGCCACTAAACATTTGACTGTATATCCGAACCCCTCACAAGCTATTTAGCCATGAGATGTGGCCCAGAAATGCTATTCAGCTTGTATTCCTAAATCATCTTCGCAAAGATTGCTTAAATTTTTGCGTTTCTTATATTGTGATGCTGCTCCATTATTAATACGTAACTTTAATGATTTAAATTATTAAGCGACTTGTATTAGATCATAAAAGGATGAATGATAACGCGCTTTATTTTAGTGAAATTCTTACTTCATCTTCAACCACAATGGCGTTTCAGCAAAATCTGCCTGAACGATATATTCTCCTTCATTTAAATTAATTTTAATAGAATTCATGAATATTGTTTTCTGTTTTGTTAAATGAGTGTAATAGTAAGATATTTAGCCTTTCGAAAAGAGTTTCTATAAAATTAAAGGTTGGTGAAGTGTGGTCACAAGATTTGTATGATCTCACCCATTGCTTGTATATAATATATTCGACATCACTTGTATATAATATTTCACTTATCATGGCCTTTAGATTAGAAGATCTAGGGCATTGAGCACAATAATCAAAATTAAATTTTGTAATGCTGGATTACAAATTATTTTTGGCAATTATATGTAATCTAAATTTAATCTTCATTTAAAGTAATTTTAGGCAAACCCAGCATTAATTTTCCATCTGTGATATAGAATAAAATTTTAATTGATCTGCGCCTATAATAAATGTTTTCCCACTATAGACAGACAAGTTAAAATAATAAGCTTGCAGACGAGTTGAATTATTTAAAATT